TTTTTTCATGGCCTATTAATTGTACACAGACACATTAAATGTTGTCATTTGTGTGTGTACGTATGTGCAGCTTACATCAGTCTTGATTATCTTGTTTAATTGTTGCTGTTTGGTAATCGGGTAACATTTGATTCCAGGATAGCTAACCAACTCTACAAATATTAGGTGCAAGATATGTAGGTAATATCTTTGAACTGTTTTCATTTAACTAACTATGCAAATATGCTAATTTTTAATATTTAACATACTGGATAATTGCTATATAGTTTGACAGTGATTTTTTTGAATGTGATATTTTAGATCCACCGGAGTCTGTAAGTACAAATCCAGAATTTATTGGTAAAATTGTAGAAGGCAGTGATTTTACAGCTACATGCTCTGCCACTGGAAATCCAACTCCAAGTTACACATGGGAGAAACCATCAGGAACACTAAAAGTATCAGGAATGAATTTAAACCTCAATAATATTAACAGAAACCTAGCTGGGGTTTATATATGTAAAGCAGTAAATACATTGCATGATAGTTCAACACCAAGTGACACATCATCATTAACAGTTGATGTACAATGTAAGTATTAAACAGTAAATACCTTTTGGTAAGAAAGAATAAACAACAAATTATATTATTTCCTAATATTTATATATATATATATATATATATATATATATATATATATATATATATATATATATATATATGAGTGGAATAAAGGCAGTATCACTACGACTCAAGCTGTGATACAACATTTAAACACCAAGTATTCTCTTCAGGAACAATATAATACTATATATACAAGCACAAGCCAAGTTTGTTTGTTTTTTCAATGAGATAACATTTTTTACTTTGTTTTCTTTTGACTTTCTTTGTAACTAATTCTTTTCTATAAATATACATAGAAGCCATAAATTTTTGTGTGGACAGTAACATAGTGTTCAGAATTTGGGATAGGTTTTCGTTTTAATAATATTTCTGTAAAGTTAAATGAAAGTCGTCACAACATTGACACCACAAACGCACCCATGCACAGGAGCACACATACATTGTATCCCCCCTCCAACACATACACAAACAGGGCAGTCAATAAGACCCTGTTTTCAGACTGTTAACATAATTACCCCAAGATTACACATAACTGAACTAGAGATTCTATAAACGCTCCCATTGTGTAGCAGTGTAGCTAAAACATATATATCTATTTATTTATTTACTTATTGACTCTTACACAATCCCCGGAGGGAAAGAAAATGATCACAAAGTACAAGGAGAAATATATATATAAAAAAAAAAAAAAAACACAATATACTAAATAACTAAATATCAATGGAAGAAGTAATTAATTCATTAATATGCAAATTATGCATGGATATAGTCAGCTGATCAGTTAAAGCAACAGCCATTTTCAATAGAACAAAGGTCATAGTTGAAAATGTCAGGAATAGTATATGACCGTTTTGAAATAGCTATGTGCCATTTTAGCAAATTTTACACAATGCAAGAATTAACAGATGCAGCTCGATCATTGTGAGAATTCACCTATGGATTAGCTAAATTAATGAAAATAACATGCTTTATAGTATTTTAGAACCGATTGAGACCTTTCATTTTCATCTGACGCCTAAACTTTAGTACTGCATGATGAAAGTGATAACAAAATTGATGGGCAATGTTTTGGAGCCAGCACTCCTAAAATCCTAAAAGGGTGGAGTATCAGACAAATACGGGTACCATTTTGACAAATATTTGTTTCTATTAGTTTTATTTGTCAGTTTTGGCATATTGGATTTATTCTTGAGCCTAATCAAGTTTCCCTATTTTGAAAACAAGACTGAATATGTCATGTTCAGGAATGGAACGACACTATATACTGCATCATAGTGACATCAGTTGTATTTAGTATCATAATGTATATGCAAGTAGAACTCTGCATTAACAACATTATAATATACAGAATTATCTGTCCTTTTTATTTATAGTACAAAAATGGTATATATTTTGTTGAGTTTGTTCTTTATTTCCAAACAAATTTAATTGTCCACTTTTCTAATTAGCTTTTTTTTGTCTTATTACATACTGTAGTATCAGCAGTTATTTATATCAAAGAGTCTGATGCAGCTGCAATCATAACAGAAAAAAATGCTTACTCTGTTATCACAGCTTTCTAGCAAAAAATTATCTTGCAGTCTATTGATATTTTATGGACAGAGTAATTCATTCTGTTTTTTTGTCTTTAGTCAATCTGTCTTTCCATACTATGGTATGGAAATTACTAATATGTTACTATCGATGAATACATTTTATATACTGCAATCCTTTTTAGTATGTATGAACCCTATTTAATACATAGCATTGAACATATATTGTGCTTGTTATTTTTTTCAAGACTGAATGTGAATTCTGTATATAGAACAATGTTCAATAGTTTTATAAAATCTCTATAGGAGTTTTGTAGAATTTGTTAAAGATATTTTATAGCACAACAGCCAAATATACCGGTACTATTAGTGAAAATTATATAGTGATTCTTAGATTTTTTTTTTTTGATTTTTAGCTCGGCTGTCGACTTTGTCATCTGAGTGATTGTCCGTCGTCGTCGTCGTCGTCCGTGTCAATGTTTTACTTTTTTGACTTCTTCTTGAAAACTACAAGCCTGAATGCTTTAATACTTGGTGTATATGTACCTTAGGTAGACCTCTCTCAGATTTGTTCATTTCATGATGATATCTTCAATTCTCTAATTTTGGTGAATATTTTTGTCATTTTTGGTAAAAAGTGATATTTTCAACTTCTTGTTAAAAACCGCAAGTCCAATTGCTTTGATATTACATATATAGGTACTACATGTGGACCTCCCTCAGATTTGTTCATTTCATGATGATATCTTTAATTCTCTAATTTCGATGAATATTTTTGTAATTTTTGGTAAAAAGTGATATTTTCGACTTCTTGTTGAAAACCGCAAGTCCAATTGCTTTGATATATTATACATATAGGTACTACATGTGGACCTCTCTCAGATTTGTTCATTTTCTAATGATATCTTCTGTTCTTTAATTGCCGTGTGCATTGCTAACAGCGGAGCTATCTCAGCCGACAGGCTGCTTGTTTTATAAAAAAAATCTATAGTCAAATGTTGATAAAAATTTATCAAAGGCAAATCTGTTAGGTTAAGGTTGATGCGTTACCATACTGCCTAAGTGCTTAATTTTGCATTCAGTGACAGAGTTCTATTTAAATTCTATCACATGCTGATAGCAATTCTGCATCTAAAGTAAAAAAAAGAAAGAGTTTGAATGTGATGTAAACATTACACATAAATTTTAGGGAATTAAGAACACTTTCAAACATGTCTCTGTACAGTGCTTTAAGCACAAATAAAATTATTATTATTAGTGTCAGATGTATAATAATGCAAGTTACCCTGATGGTCTTAAGTTTTCTCATTCACAAAAAACATGATATCACTTCGAGCAAAACATTCAAAATGTTCTCCTTAATATACCAAATATTTAAATCCACTGTAACTAACTTGTTATTTTCAGATCCACCAGAATCAACATCCATCACCAATGCAAGTAATGGTAAAGTCATAGAAGGTCGTACATTCATTGCTACATGTTCTGCTGCTGGTAATCCCACTCCAAGTTACACATGGGAGAAACCATCAGGAACACTGATACAATCAGAAAAGACTTTAACGTTGAGTAATATCAATAAAAATGAAGCTGGAGATTATATATGTAAAGCAGTAAATACATTGCATGACGGTACAACACTAAGTGATACTTCATCAGTAATGGTTGATGTACAATGTGAGTAATAAATAGTGACCTGTAAGTCGCTGTAATTTGTGATAAACATGCTAATGCTTATAGAATCCTATGGTCATGTACCAGTTGGGTAGGAACCATATACTGTTATATTTCATTACATGATATTATGAGGTTATTACAAAGATACCTCAAAGTATGCATAAAGATAGTACAG